TGGGTGGCTCAGTTGGTTAAGCGACTGCCTTCGGCTCAGGTCATGATCCTGGAGTCCCGGGATCGAGTCCCACATCGGGCTCCCTGCTCAGCAGGGGGTCTGCTTCTCCCTCTGCCCTCTTCCCTCTCGTGCTCTCTGTCTCTCATTCTCTCTCTCTCAAATAAATAAATAAAATCTTTAAAAAAAAAAATATTTCCAGCATGTTCCAATCGGAGGGTCTTTGTGCTTACTGTTCCTTCAGCCCAGATGTACACAGAACTATGCTTTCACTTCAGTTGGGTCTCAGACAGCCCATCCAAGCCACCTTATCTAAAACAGGACTGTTCCAGTTCCTAGCACATTCTATTTCCTTACTCTGCTATAGATTTCTTCATAGCTTTAATCATTACCCAATATTATAATGTCATATTTATTAGTTTAGTATCTGTCTAATTCCATATTTAAATACAAGCTCTGAGAGCAGGACATTTATCTGTTTTGTTCAATGCTATATTCCTGGGGCCTAGAACAGTACCTAGAATATAGGAGGCACTTAATTAGTGTTATCTATTTCTATTATCATTATTGGATAATGAGCAAGTGGATTGCTTTTTTTCAGTTGTCTGAGTAAAGTCCAAACACTGGGGCTATGGATATTCATGTGGTGACAATAGGCTGATGTGCCAAGTAGCCCAGAAGAATCAATCAGCCTCTAGAAAGAATCACCTCCAAATGTTAGTGATACTAAATGCCGCAAAAAGGCAAGAAATTCTGCCAGTACTAGCAGTAAAAAGCATCCATTTGAGACATATTTACAGAAATTTCAGAACCTCCAAAAGAGTAAACACTCACCTTATCAGCCATCACAGAGGCAAAAAGGAAACGTCCCCCAAGACCAAATGAGTAGATTTTCACACCAATGGTTTTGAAGCTTTTCCCCAAGTCTGATGTTCTCCATAATTCCAGTGCCCCAAGGTCAGCTTCTTAAACAAGACAAAATATTAATTAAAATGTCACATACTGGTGAGCCTCCAGTTCAAAACAACTGTTTTAGAGTGTTCTTGTATTTTATAGCTAAAGGATTTTTAATCCTATGCTTGTTAATCAAGTGACAATGTAAAATGACACGGCATTAGACACAGGGAATTCCCATTTGGGTTTTATTTCTATACATGTGGGGTTTTGCACTGGATAGAATGACAGAGTTTACGTAATTCAAATACAGTGTTGCATAAACATGTCACAGCCACAGCATCCTGTTTTGCTTTCTTCACGACACACTTATCTTTTCCTATTTTCAGTAGTCTTGTTGGAGTTTTTGGTTTTCTTGCTGATCCTCCAATAGCCCTATAGGAATTCAAGCCCCATGAGAGAAGGCCTTGGGTGTCTTGCTCCCTGCATCCTTAGGACAGTGACTGGCATACTACTGCAGGTGTGCAAATCAGTGGATGAAAAAATGAAATGAATCTGTTGAATGAATAAATGTGAAAGACCATGCTTTCTGCTTTGAAATGGTGCCACGGACTGGAAAGCCAACATCCACCGACACAAACACAACCTCCATGCTCTTTCGCAGAAATCACTATGAGTTTCAACTTGTTATCATTTGTAGCCTAATATTTACTTTATGTAAATACATTGCTAAAATTAAGTACACTGCCTCTGGGTATAGCTTATGTTTTCATTTGATCTAGGCTCAGTACTTTCAAAATTTTTTAAATCCTTGACAGTTATCTTAGCTATTAAAATTACAGGAGATGGGCGCCTGGGTGGCTCAGTCATTAAGCGTCTGCCTTCGGCCCAGGTCATGATCCCAGGGTCCTGGGATCGAGCCCCACATCGGGCTTCCTGCTCCGCGGGAAGCCTACTTCTCCCTCTCCCGCTCCCCCTGCTTGTGTTCCTTCTCTCACTGTGTCTTTCTCCGTCAAAAAAGTGAATAAAATCTTTTAAAAAAATTACAGGAGAACAGAAGGATCTTTGATGTTTCTACCTCTTACAACCCAGAACATTCTACTGTGAACGGACAACAGGACACTCTTATTTGGAACTAAAATATACTTACTGCAGGAGCCGTTCGCATAAGTGGTAAAGAAGATGGTGTTTTCTGATCCCCTACAGAGAGGCAAAGACAGAGAAAAGTCACGGTTCAAGACTGCTGTCAACCACAGTCACAGAGCTCCAAGCAAGGCTACTAATGATAAGCTCCATCCACAGGCGCCAGGTGAAACGGCCTTCTGGGATGCTGTACGGCTGACTCTCCCAGCCACACTGGTCAAGGTGCCCCCAGCCCAGCGCCAGGATTTCCCCCAGTCCACTACTTCTTCACGTGAACGCTTCTAGCTGGTCAGACTGGTCTGTTTACACTCTCCAAATCTGCCTCTTGCATTTGCTGTTCCTGTTGCTGGCTTAAAATGCTTTTTTCTCTTCTGTAAGCAAATCTTACCCTCACAGTCTTTAGGCTCCAGCTTAAAATCTAGCTCTTCCATGAAACTTTTCCTGGCATTCCAACTGGAAAGCTTCTTTGCTGCAAACTTTTAGAGCAGTGATTTCTCGACTGGGGGTGATTTTACTCCCCAGGGGACATTTCTGGTTGTCACAACTGGGGGACAGGGAATTGTTACTAGTATCTAGTGGGTAGAGGCCAGGGACGCTGCTAAACATCCTACAATGCAGAGGACAACTCCCCCACAATAAAGAATTGTCCAGTCCAAAGAATTGTCCAGTCATTAGTGCAAAGGTTGAGAAACCTTGTTCTAGAGCACTGGACCATTCTGTATCAGCTGCTTGGCACTCCTTTGTCTCCTATTTAATTATTTTAATCCAACAGTGTATGCCTTCTCTCTCCTACTACATTATTGGGTTCCTCAGGACAGGTATGAAGGTTTATGCTTTGTTGTTTCCACTCAGAACCTAGTTCAGTACTTTGCATGTGCTAAATAATTTAGTTCTTTCATCTCGAATAGACAGCTAGGTCAGAGGTTGAATTATTTAAATTCTACCTTGGAAATGGAGTTTGCAGAAAGTAGGTTCAGACCCTGACAGTACTTATGGATTAGCACCAGCACAAGGTGCGGGGTCTGAGCACATTCTTTCAGCACTTCAGGCTGTCAATTCCTAGAAATCAAAGATCTAAAAGGTGAGTAAACCGTTATCAGAAGTCCAGTTATCTTATATTTAGACACTAATCAAAGAAATAAGTTACAAAAGTAAAAAATATTATAGGGGATACAAAATAAAATACCATTTAAAAATAAATTTTTAGGGTTTTTTTTTAAAAATTTAAAAAATTTTTGAATTTTTTTTTTTTTTTTTTTATTCATGAGAGACAGAGCGAGAGAGAAAGGCAGAGGGAGAAGCAGGCTCCCAAGGAGCAGGGAGCCCGATGCGGGACTCGATCCCAGGACCCTGAGATCATGACCTGAGCCGAAGGCAGACGCTTAACCATCTGAGCCACCCGGGCGCCCAAGATTTAAAAAATTTTTTAAGTAATCTCTACACCCAACGTGGGGCTCGAACCCACGACCCTGAGATCAAGAGTTGCACGCTCTACCAACTGAGCCAGCCAGACATCCCTAAACGTTTAGTTTTAAAGATGAGTTTTCAGTTTGTTTCTTTTGGCTTTATTGAGGTATAACTGACAAATACCATTCAGAGTGCACACTGTGGTGATTTGATATACATACATCAAGGTGAGTTGTAATGACCAAAATTTACTATAGTCTTACTTGAACATACCCTATATACTTTAGTTCCATCGAGAGTGAAGCAACTTATTAACTTAGTTCCTTTAAAAATGACTTCCTTCCTGATAAGACCATATAAGGCACAAACACAATTCGTGAAAATACACAGACCGAATGCTGACGTAGCCTGTGTGCCACAGCTGGGCTGCACGGACCTCATTTTATCAGCAGTATCTGGGAAAAGGCCACTTTAAGCAGTATTTTTTTTAATATTGTAATTTCAGGAGATATATTTGGCAACGTCTCTATTACACACCTCCCTGACTGCCTAAGTAGAGGACATTAAATATTAGATTCTTCCTTGGGACTAAGGGTCATGTTCATGAACACCACGCATACGACACTATAACACAGAGCTCCCATTGGAAGTTACTGATCCCGCACTAAAGCACCCCATCCTGTCATCGTCCCTGCCTCCATGCAGCTCTCAGCAGCGGCTCCTCATGCTGGCGTGTGCTGCTTGTTAGCACTCACGTCCCCCACCTCGGGCACCAGTCTGCTATCCACAGGGAAACTACATTCACAAATTTGCTGAAATTTGTCAAAGAGAAAGAAGAAAGAGGCTCTAAACAAGGGTGTGAGCATAATTAGAATTTTGGTGGTATGAAGGTTTTTAATTCAATTCTTGCTCCACCATCCCCCAAACTCCCCCAATAAATCTCCTTTCATAAAAGGGAAACACTAAAGCCCAGAGAGGTTAAGCCACTGACTAGCCAGTTTCGAATGAAGGTGACCTGACTCCCAAGAAAGAGCTCTTCCACTGCATCATGTTAAGCAGGCCCTGGGTGTGTGTGTGGGGGCGCCGGCGGTCCCACTGAGGAAAGCGAAGGATTTTTGGTGCACAGACAGGGTGACTCCGAAGTTCTGGAAGCTCTCTAGGCTTTCTTCCTGATTCCTTGCTACATTCCGCACAACTGAAACGGATCTCTACGTGAGGGAATATAAATCTGGGAACAGAGAAGTACGTAAGTCCCCAAATCAAAGCTGTATTTTATGCTATTCCAACTGATGACACTATTTATGGAGAATAAACCTTTGCAGGCAGCAGCTACTCAGTCATGTGCCCTGCTTAGTTATATTCTAACACTTAGTGAGATTAAGTATTCTTTCCCAGTGGAATTAGAAGTTCCTCCAGGTCACAATCTGTGTCATACCCTTCCCCTTCTATCCCTTCTGGCACCCTGAAGACTACCTGGCACGTAGTCAGTGCTCAATATTTATTCATGTGACTTTTGGCAGCACAGTCAGGAAAGGTTTAGGGCTCTGCACAGATGGAGTCTTCTGTTACTCACCATTTGGCCAAACACACTGCTTTGTGGATTTCTTCCCATTTTCCCCCAAAATCCTTGGACACCCACAGGCCATTCTGAAAGATTATAAATGACTTATCAGAATTCCAGCTTTGTCCTGTGCAGCTGCTAATATGACCTTTAATAATTCATATCTAATCATTCAGGACAGTAAACACACACACTGAAGGTCCGTCCAAGCTGCCTGACACACACACACACACACACACACACACACGATGGGGGCCCCTTCAGGGTTTTGGAAGTTCAGAATAACAAATGCTCATGAATTGCCTACTATGTGCCAGGCACTGTCCCAGATGTCACACTGGGGACACAACGACCAATAAGATACACTCCCCGCTCTCAAGGAGCTCCCGGCTTAAGAAGGGGTGTGGATAAGAATTTGATACAATGTGCTAAGTTATGGAAACATGTCTCCAGGGTGAGAATAAGGAGGGGAGGGACAATGCATCAGAGATGGTTTGTGAAGACAGCTGAATTAGTATTAAATAATGAGCAGTATAACCAAAAGAAGGCAAATGGGGAGATGGGATGTTATTGCACAAATACACACTAGTACTTGCCAAGGCGAGAGGTGATAAAACATCACAGCGTGGGCAAGGAGCTAAAAGCCTTCAGACACTGATGGAACACAAATTCCAAGGTAAGGAAAGAAGGGGCTAATGCTAGGGAGAGAGGTGAGGGCCAGCTTACAGAGGGCCCTCAGTTTTACTTTTTTTTTTTTTTTTTTGAGAGAGAGAATGCACATGTGCACATGAGTACAGTATGGGTGGGTAGGGGTAGGAGGGGAAGGGGAGAGGGAGAGAGAGAATCTTAGGCAGGCTCCATGCCTAGCGTGGAGCCCGACACGGGGCTCAATCTCACGACCCCAAGATTCCCGAGATCACAGAACCTGAGCCAAAAATCAAGAGTTGGACATCTAACGGACTGAGCCACCCAGGCGCCCCTCAGTTTTACTTTTTTTAAAGGTGGAATACTTGGATGGCAATGGGAAAGATGGATTTCATACCAGAAGCAGGAAAAGTAGTGAAAAAGTAGTACCACATTAGTTCATTAAGAGTTAGTGAAGGCCTAGGGCCCCTGGGTGGCTCAGTCATTAAGCGTCTGCCTTCAGCTCAGGTCATGATCCCAGGGTCCTGGGAT